AAATGTGCAATGGCAGCACATCATAAACAACAAACATATCTGAGAATCGTCGTGGGGCTATCAGTTTTATACCCACAGCAACAGAATCAAAATAGAGTAAACACAAATTCCAAATCATACAGTGGCAGGCAAAGTAATAGTGTTTTTGCTTTAAAAGCAAAAGCATTTTAATTTAATTCAGATGCACTTGCTGATAAAATGTAATATAAATCCACATATAAGGATTGGCTGTACAAAATGGAAATCTGATAGCTTCAAGCTGTTTTCTTGAAAAGTTACATATATGGAAACTGCGACAACTGATGACTACCATTTATTTGTGATAAAGACTACACAATATAGGGAAATTTAATACATTAAGGGCATTCACGCTGTTGATACTAAATGTTTATGTTTTACTAACTGGAATGAGTGCTATTAATTTAGCTACATTTGTAAATCACCGCTTAGAGGAACCCACACAAGAGCAAAATTAACAATCGAAATCAAGAATAACTTATTTTTGTTTACGTAGACAAACTCAATTCTTATAGTATATATTTTATTATTTGTCAATTGATATAATTATACGATATGCAATCCATAACTGCATGGAAAACCTGAGTAACTTTTGTGTATTCCTCAGCAATTTATTTATTATTTTGATTGCATTAATATTTGCAATTACTAACATAGATAGAGCATCGGAGCAAGTGAATATAGTTTTATTTTGAAATCACACGGTATTTTCTCTCTGTGTGGCAAATCAAGTACCTTTAGCCGATCCTGCCAAGCATTCCGATAAGGACCAACAAAAATGAGGCATTCGGCGGGGGAATTAACGAGGGTAAATATTTGATAAAAGCCACTTGCTAATTAATTTTCTGCGTTGAGTTTTGTGGCTCTTTTCAAGCTCTTCCTGCTTTTCCTTTTGCATTGTTGGCAGATGCCAAAACACTCACACACACACAGCCACTTTCACCCACACACACACACATGCGAGCACACCAAACTCTAATAAGATTCCCTTAATGCAAACGAAATTTGCCAGCCAATTAGCGAGTTCTAATTGGACGCACAGCTGGGCAACTTAGGGGGCGTGGCAGTACGGGGGCGGCAGTTTTGATGGGTGTTTGGCGGGGGTAGAAGGCGGGGCTGCAAGTCCTGGACACGCTTACCTCATTATCCTTGTTGTTCCTAATGCCGCGCACCAAATCGGTGAGGTTTTTATCAAACATACGCTCGAAAAAGTTACCCTTCACTTTCTTCAGTGCCATGTTTGCAGTTGCTATTGTGGTTTTCTTTTTGCTGCACTCCGTGGCGTTACTTTGATTTGTAATCGGTATCTCGCTTGGGAAATTAGGCTATTTTGGCGAGGCGATTTCAGCACATCACCGGCGGCAGCACAAAGCACTCACTTCCGTCTTTTTCCGATTTGTTTTCGTTTTTTTAACTTTAATACGCTCGCAAACTAGAGATGGCACGCAAATGTATGTTTAATCGATACTATCGATGCTTACTGCATGTTGGTGGTTGGTGGTTTATACTAAATAATAGGTGGCTGCACTCGCTTGCTGTAAGATGTTAACAGCTTCGCAGACTATCGATAACTCGCTGCGCATACGGTTTCAAAACCGATTAAAGGCAGCAAGTTTGAAAAAGAGAGAGAAGGAAATAAATAAATAATTTAAATATTACGCTCCGAAAACTTCTTTTTCTGAACGCATTTATAATAATTCTATAAAAGAGCAAATTTTCAATGCAACTAGCGTTTATTTCGAGCCCGCATTGCGGTTTAAAACTGTTCAAAACATTAACTCTTTAAAACGTTCTCCAACATTTCATTTTAAAATACGTAACATTCTCTTATGTTTACTTTTTAATTACCCGAAGGCAATTGACAAACGCACTTATGAAAAATTATTTTAACTAAGCTTCGATGTAAAAAATTAAGGGATTTACAAACAAAAAAGCTGTGCGCCTTTCGACAAACAAGTGTTCGTTTAATACTTCCGTTACAACTACTCAATAAATTTGTATTAATGAGAGACACATTTTGGAGATATCTTAAGTTGATGGCTTGCAGCCAGGCGATTGACGGCGAAGCTTGAGATATAAATAGAGGTGCAGGTGCAGGTCGTTTTCGATTCAAAAAGGCTTAGTTGATAATTGGATTAGTTTGCTTGATTGCTTTTCTTTTCTTCGTTTTCTTAGCTCCAATGATATCGAGATATCTCAAATATTTAGCAGCAGTTCAACTGGATGGAGTGGTGAGGCCTGATGATTCGCGTATGGGATGACACTGGGATGACGAGATGGCATGAACATTGGTCTCTATTCATTGGTGGTCGGCGTATGGATCACGAACCGACTGTTCCTGTTGTTCAACGTGAACACATTGCTCATTCGCATGTGCTCGAAGGTCAGGGGTTTGCTCAGATTGGTGTCCCTCTTCTTGTAGTACTCGTTAAAGTCCAGCCGAGTGCCAAAGAGCTGAAGATTGGGATCGTGACTGGAGTTGAGAGCCATTAGGAAACTGCTGACAGCCTTTTCGTAATTGGATGATATGACCTCCAGGCCGCGCCAAGCGATGTCCACCTTTTCGGCAAAGATCTGTGCCTCGTGGTCGCGCTGTAAGATCACCTCGTTGGTTAGCCCGAAGACACCCTTCTTTTCCGATTTCTCCACAACTTTGGCCAGCTCCTGACGGGCATTCAGCTCCTTAAAGCAGTCCTTGTAGAATGCCGATTGCCACTTCTCCAATTCGATAATGTTTTCGTACACCACCTCCAGCGAATGCTCCACATTCGGTTTGCTGCTGACAAAACAGCCCACCTTAATCGTTTGCAGAAACATCTCGTGGGCGTCCAGGATGTCGTCCAATGCCGTAGCCTGTTGCATCTTCTTCTGCAGCTCCACCCAGTTGCACTCGATTACCTCAAATAGCACATAGTACTGCATTTGGTGGATAAAGTGCATGATCTCCGAGGTGAAGAGGTTCAGGCGGTGCGACGCCTTTTCTATCTCAGTGTTTATTGGACGAAGGGTCTGAAAAGATATGAAATATGCAATATAATATTGTTACTCGTATATGTATTTCTATTCAGTGTTAGAAATTGCAAGAGAAAACATCACAAATAAACCTAGGTTTAAAATTGGTTAAATTGCTTTGAAGGTATGCAAAATAAAAACAAAAAAGTTAATATTTGAAACACCTACAGATAGAAATACGCCAGAATATTGAAAACAGATTAAAAATGTATAAACTTGAGGATATACGGTGATATTAACTATTTCTCTGAATAAATTTCAGCAAATATATCTAAAACATTCTAATTTGGAAAAAGTTATTCCTAACGGCAACTCTGCGTGCTAACAGCGATAAACCGATTGCAATCGTCTATCGACGGCAGCATTGTTTACGTTCGTGATTCGCCGCTTTCAGAATCCCTTTATCTGGCTTATCAGCGTCGCACGGCGAAGATTACGGCCCACGAAAGTCACATTGTCAGCGAGATGGCCCTCTCGATCTTCAAAGACTTGCCGGCGGAGCACCCGCGCCATCTGATTCCCTCGCTATGCAGGCAGTTCTATCATTTGGGATGGGTGACCGGCACAGGAGGTGGCATGAGCATCAAGTACAAGTGAGTGGGTGATACTATATGGCCATATATCCAGACATCTGTATAATCCGGCTAATCCTTCTCAGCGATGAGATCTACATAGCACCATCGGGCGTGCAGAAGGAGCGAATGCAGCCGGAGGATCTGTTCGTGCAGGACATAACCGGCAAGGATCTGCAGCTGCCACCTGAGATCAAGGGCCTGAAGAAGAGCCAGTGCACGCCGCTCTTCATGCTGGCCTATCAGCATCGGCAGGCGGGAGCCGTTATCCACACGCATTCGCAGCACGCCGTAATGGCCACGCTCCTGTGGCCAGGGAAAACTTTCCGCTGCACCCACTTGGAGATGATCAAGGGCGTGTACGATGAGGCGGATAAGCGATATCTGCGCTACGACGAGGAGCTGGTCGTACCGATCATCGAGAACACACCCTTTGAGCGCGACCTGGCCGACAGCATGTACGCCGCCATGATGGAGTATCCGGGCTGCAGTGCCATCCTGGTGCGACGACACGGCGTCTACGTTTGGGGACAGAACTGGGAGAAGGCCAAAACCATGTGGGTTTCCACTCTACTTTCAGATACCAAACACTTTTATAGCACTAATCGTATATCCCTTTTCGTAAAACAGGTCGGAATGCTATGACTATCTCTTCTCCATTGCCGTGGAAATGAAAAAGGCCGGAATCGATCCGCAGAAGTTCGAGAGCTCATAAGGAAATAGAGCTGATACACAAGCACATGTTATTCATAGTTTAACCCTATAAATTGATGCATTTACTATCAGAAATGCTATGGCCAATGCTAAATAATAGTACTGAAAAAGGTTTTCGTTTTATATAGCATGCATTATATACAATATAAACGATCCATTAGGGGGGCTGAGAATGTTTTCTCAATGGGCTCGTGAGCTGACATATTTTTTCGCAATAATCTGAAGAGTCTTGAAGCCTTATCGCCGTTTTATGGGCATTTCAAACTGGTTGCGTACTTTGCACTAAAATTTGGACAACAGCTGATAACCGCTGTTAGGGGCTTATGTTAGGCATTTCATGTTAATGTTAAAGTCTAAACTCCACACCTGTAACAGTGGGCTGGCAAGCGGTGAAAAAGCAATTGTTACCCCCTTCAGTAATTTACTTATTCTTTATGATATCATCGAAGATACTCCCTAATTTAATAAAGTAATATTTCCTAACCAATTTAGGTTTTAAACTCAATAGTTGCCAAATCTGGTATATATGAAATGGTTAATCAACCACTTTTTTTAAGTTCATGCCCACTGTTCACCAGCTGGCTAACATTTTGAAGAGAGAGAGCGCGCGACAATAACAGCACCCCAAGGCTTACGCGAATGCAACAGGTGCGAGTGAGTGCAACATACCCCGACCGGTAACTCGCTATATGGCCATCCCGCTCCCACGCGACAGGGGGAGTGTAGTGAAAAAAGCGACAATAAAATCGCCGATTGCACGCCGTTTGCTCATTACTTCGCGTTCTCTACTCAAAGCGTAAGCATTTTTTTTTTCAACGACGCACAAACGCAACCTGAAGCGCACTGAATATTTTCTCTATTTTTCCGGAAAACCAAACGCACACACAGAAATACACACAACAACCATGTCTCTGCAGTCGGACGCCGTTTTCCAGAAGATCATCGATGGACTGAAGGATAATGAGGCCAAGGCCAAGGCGGTCAACGGCGTGTTCCTGTACAAAATCACCAAGGACGGCAAGGTGGCCAAGGAGTGGAGTAAGTACCAATTATCCATCGGCCAAAAGCGCCCACAAAAACCACGCACCAAATAGACACTCCCGCCGCGCAGCACACTGGCGTAGATGGGCTAAAGCCAAAGGGGGAACTTTCTGTTTAAAAAATGAACTTTAACTTCACTGAGGAGGTTTTCCAACCTCCCAGTTGCTAGCCCCACTCCGATGCCGCTCCTGACCAGTGGAGAATACCAGTACGTGGTCTTTGCGTGTGTGTTTTGCATTTTGTAGTAGTCACAGTTCAAAGTGCGCAGCGTTTGTACTTCGGCACCAGCTGTTGGCATTAACAAAAACCACTGAATTGCCTCTATGTGCGACCCTGGGAATATATTTCCGCAATACAATATATTTGCACCACTTGTTGCACCATTCCAGGATCTAATATATGCACATTCAACTATTTCATTATATATTTCCTATGCCTATCGTCGTGGAAAAATCCTATAAATTATTCAAATGATATTGTTGATAAGCAGGTGAACAACCTATTAATAAACACCACTTTCAGCTCTGGACTGCAAGAACGCCAAGGCCTACGAGGGACCTGCCCAGGGCATCAAGGTGGACACCACCTTGACGGTCGCCGACGAGGACATGGTTGACATCGCCCTGGGCAAGCTGAACCCCCAGGCTGCCTTCATGAAGGGCAAGCTGAAGATCGCCGGCAACATCATGCTCACCCAGAAGCTGGCGCCGCTCCTCAAGACCGACGCCAAGTTGTAAAAAGGATCGAGCCAGTCTGCACATTCCTCACCGACAGTGTGTGTGTTCTATTTACTCCTTTTTTTTTGTGTATGTAATTTGTAATCTGTATTCGTGTTTTTGTTTCACCACATAATTAATGTTATTTTTGTACGGAAAACCCGTCTACAAAACTAGAAAATAATACATAAGGCGAAAACGACCAATTCATGTGCACTTTGATACTATGGATGGTTTATCGGTAAGTGGGGTAATCGCTGCGGATTAGATTACTAGGGCGGGCAATCTTATCAAGGTGTTATAGGCGATTTCTTGGCTGAAACCTTTCGAACTTCGACTTCCCTTCAACACAAAAATAGATTCCCAACAGCTGCTTGTTGCCAGACTAGCATTTTAGCCCATAAACTGCCAGGTTCATTTTAATCTGTCAGTTCCAAAGCCTTAAAAAAATCCGTATAGTACCTTTCCCAACCAGATAAGCTTAATTGTAGGTTAAATAGCTTCATAAATCGGGAGTCAAAGAACTCAAGTTAAGAAATTGTCTATATTCATTATTTCTTCAGATGTACCACATCCTATAAATAAATGCTTGCACGCCAACCAATCTGAAGTCTGACCTAATTTATCTCAGAAATAAAAGCAAAACTTCTGAATTGAAAAGAAAGTCCGCGTGTCAGCGATTCCCTGACCACTAGAATCACCATGTGCACTACGAGTGGCACTTGGCAATCTAAATATGTGCATGCACTCAAAACACCGATAAGCTGTCAAAAAGCCAGCGCACTCACCTTCGCGTTGCCCATCTGCTCCTTCCAGATCTTCATCGAGAGCACGAACTCCATGTGCTTCATGCGCCAGAGTGGCTTGAAGAGCAACTTGTACGTGGGCATGGTCGGCTCCAGCATGGTGGCCAGTGGTCCCTGTACGATGTACTGCAGTGAGATGATGTCCCAGCCAATATCACCGTGGAACGGGCGTTGCACCATCACATCGAGGTGGTTGAGTATTTCCGGATCGTCATACTGGGCATTCGTACAGCGCAGAGCGGCATCCAGCATTGAGGAGAGATCGTGGGCATATATATCAACGCCCGGTCGCTCGAGTTCGTCTCTGCAAAGCGGTTTTCAAGTGTTACTATCGAAATTCATAAGTACGAATTTAATTTACTGCAAACTAACTTCATGTGCTCGATCAGAATGCTGACAAAATCGCCCTGCCCCAGCAGCAAGTAGCGGCGCATGCCTTGCAGGTGTTCCAGCAGCTTGTGTGGACCCACCATAATGTCCAGGACATGCTTGGAGGTCTGCTGGTAGCACGTTTCCACGGCCACATGCCAACTGGTGTCCGGTGTGTACGAAAAAAATTGGGCAACTGTAGATAAAGCATTGCAAATGATTTAGTTTTGATTACACATTTTGAAAGGCATGCTAAACTCACCATTATTGTCCATGATTTTCATTAGCTCCTCGCGCTCCCTCATCACACCCTGCATCTCGCATATTTCCCTCAGAAAATTAATGCATTTGCCTGTCTTGAGAATCTTATTGGCCATTTCCATGGGCACAAACTTGGGCAGCATGGGCAACCGCAGGCGAAATTTATCGTGCCATAGCCGATCAGCACCCACATCATTGAGGGACTCCACAAAGAACTCGCTGTGCAGATCGCTAATGCCGCCCTCCAGAATCCATTTGGAGATCATGCGCACCAGTGGGCCACAAATGGCAGTGAGTACATCCTCCACCAACTTATTCACCATCGAGTTACCATTGTCGAGGAAATCGTACACGGTCGATGCCAATTCACCGCCCTTCTTCATCTGGCAGGCGTCGGCGATCTTGGTTAGCCACTGCATCCGGTGCAGTGGCTTTATATACCAGGCGAGTAGCTTAAAAAGTGTGAGTTCGTCGGCAGCATCTAGCTCACTATCCCTGTTTGGAAATCTATTCATTTGGGCCTTCCGAAAACTATTCATTTCATCGTGGAGCACGGCCACTTGGCCGTGAAAGTCGGCAAGCTCCTCCTTGAGCTTGGAAATCAGGGCCTGCCCTATGCAGCCCATGGCATTGAAGCCGGTCGTTATGTCCGCAAATTTGGTCACGCGGTCGTGGTAGTAGCCAAGTTCGGAGAGCCGCAGCAACATGCCCGCTTGGCCGGTGGTCAGTAACTTTATGTTCAGCGGATCCAGTTTAAACCGTCCCGTTACCACATCCTTCTTCAAATACTTTCCTTGGACGCCGGTGAAGGAGTAAATGGCATTTGTCACTATATCCTGGCGGGACTCGGGCAACTTCCTTGTTGCTTCCACGTAATTTGGGAGGGACTGTTGGCTCAGTCCGATGCTGGACTGTGTGGCATTGTAGCTGTAGCCTGCTCCTCCGTTAACCCCTCCATTTCCATTCAGACTGTTAAGGGAAGAGCCGTTCGTTGAGTGTACACGGCTGCTCAGAATCTGGCTGAGATTATCGGATTGCGGAAGTGCATCTGCTTCTCCGTTGGCAGCCGACTTATCGGCAATCGAGAGCAAATATTTAATTAGCGAGTGCCTCGCCTGGGGATCCATCTTAATCAACGTGAGTTTCTTGTACTGCTGGAAGAAGTGCTGAATCAAATTTGAGCCCTCCTTTTTCTCCTTGATACTCAGCTGTTTCAGTATCTTCTGCACACATTCGTGTTCGTTCAACGTGTTTGAGTCCCAAATACCACCAGTACTGGAGGCTAACAATTTGCCAAAATGGGCCATTACTTGTTCTGTGAAATATTTACCAAAGTACATTAAAACAAAACAAATAATTTTACAATTATTGCTTATCCTTATAAAGAGGTTTCACAATGGATAATTCAATAATGACGTTTGGAAATTGTATGGTATATCTTTGAGGATCTAAGAAACTAGCTCATACTATCATAGTTACATTAAACATAACTATATTATATGAAATCATTCTATATTTTTAAATAATACACCTTTGGATGCTGCATGGCATTGCAAAATTATCTACATTCTGATAGGTATCTTTATTTAAACAATATACTTTGAATGATTGCTGGGATTCCTATAAACATTAATTGACGACTATGCAAGACACAATTTACTGCATATTGCATATAGATCTATATACATATATGAAGTCCTGGATATATCTAACAATTATGGTAGCATTCTAAAGGACTGTCGTTCAAAATGCCATAGAATATGGGTAGTTTCTGGGGCTTCCTATAATTGTTATAATCCGTGGGCGATTCCCGATGATGCAGGAGAGCCCTCGGAACGCCAAAACACTCTGAATGCCCTGCAGACAGCCAGTGAAGTGATCACATATTCGCAAATCTTACCGTGAACTTCGGGCAGCTGTTTGCCATTGATGCAGATGAGCATCTCGCTCACGATATTCGATATTGAATTGGAAATGCCGGCCACATCGGTGCCGACGATCTTGCCCTGCGACATGCTGATGGACTGGATTCGAAGCCAAACTCTTCTATATTCATAAATCCAATGGAGCGCGCGATAAGCAACCGATTTTGGATGGCTTGGGAATGCGAAGTGGACAACAACTGGTGGCCAATAGCACACGCACGCCTGATCCCTGGCTATAATACGGCCTGCACCAACTTGCAATTGCTCGGGATGTGTGAAATACTTGATAGATTCGACGAAAACGCCTCGAAGTGGCGCGTACTTTATAAAAATAATTTATTGAAATAATTTTGTGCAGTGTTACCGAATCTGAGAATCTAGACAAAGGCAAACTATTTGCCACTGGCGGGCACACACTGGCAGTAGGTGCAGCGATCTGGCAACGCTCGTTCGCAATAGGAAATTGCATTTAAATGAAATTGTACTATATATATTTGTAAAGAATTGTAATTAGTTGTAGCATTTTTGGTTTAACAATTCTGTTTAGAAGTACAGCTTTCAGCTGTTATGTTAGACATCAGGCAGCTCTGGCAGTATGCGTTTCCAAGTATCGCTCGCCTGGTAACACTGGCCATTTTCCATTTACAAAAGCTTGTAAACAAAAATAAAAAACATTAAATAAATGATATTAAAGCTGAAGATGTGACTTGCAAACGGGGTTCCGTCATGGATCGATCCTGATCCCCTACATCAAGCTGAAACCACCATTAGGCGACTGAGTTGGATTATTCTCACTAGTAACTTGCCACAAATTTCAACTCAAATATACTCTGCATTAAAACAGAAACCTCCGGTATGGAGGGAATACAAATTTAATAATTTAATTAAATTTTATTCAGAACATAATTAAACTCCCACCCGAATCACTTCTATACGTATTTGCATTAAATATCTAGAGATTTCTCTAAGAAACTATCGAAGAACATAAAGTTGGTACAATTTGATGCTCAATTCCCACATTTTATTATATTTTAGAAATGTTAGGATTGCTTTTAAAGTGTGAAAAGAGAATGTATTTGTTGTATGCCAATTGCAACGCAAACCCAAACGAATAAATGAAAGTACTAAGTACTTATTCAAAATGCATCCTCTTATGTTTTCAATTTTTATTTTTGATGTATATTTTCTGCTTTTAACACAATAGTTTATATATATATGTAGATATATATATTAAATATATATAGATGTGTGGGCGTATGTGTAAGAATATGTCGAATTTTGTTTCTTCATGAAGTGTGAACATTTAAAAATAAAAGTGCGGCGAAAACAAAAGTCTTTTTCTTATCATATAAAATGCAGCTTTTATTCAATCAAAAAAAAAAAGCAAGCGAAAGAAAATGAATCCGTTGGTAAATATACGTATAATGTAAAATTAAGCCTAATTATGTTAGTCTTCTAACACACAAAGTTACAAAAAATAATTAGGGAAAAATCGTGTTGTCGATGCGCATAGGAATAATAAAAATGGTTTTCTCAATTTCAAGTCAATGGAATTTGTTGTGTGTAGTCATTTTCGCTGAATAACAGTTGATACAGTTGATAAATCATCAGGTTCATACAACTTATTTAATCAATTCAATCAATCTAAGAGGTGTACGAGAGTGTCAATAACAGTTTCGTGTAAGTAATATGTTTTAATTTCCAAGTGGCATTATGACGCGGCGTGCTAAGTACGCCGATGTTTGTGTTCCAACTCTTATCCTTCTGCGTAATCCTAGCCGAAGGGAAATCCATAGGGAGTGACCCATCTGTGTTACTGGGTGTTTTCGCGTATTTTTGGCTGGA